CTGTAAAACGTTTGATTGAAATTTATCCAAAAAATGTGAAAATGTTTACTTAGCGCTCATCCTTTCCTTTCATCCATTTTCTAAAACATACCTGTTTGTTTGCAAATTTCTTCATGACTTCAGTTTTTAATGTTGTTTTAAAAACTATAAATTAAAGTTAAACTATAGTTATTATGTCCTAATAATTATAATATAAATAAGAGCTTGCAAGCGTTGGTTCGGCATTCGGCAAAACAGACGTTGTTAGACGTACAAAAGTGATAAGTTAGAAGTCGTATCGCAGGAGGCGATAGCGTTGGAATAAGTTTCAAGTTTAAAGATTGACGGTTGGCCGTAATCTCAACGTTTCAATAACAAATTTGTGTCGCAAAGAACCAATGTTTGGAACTCCGTATCACAAATCGTTCACAAACCACTGTAAATATCCTATCAAGTGTTAAATACAATTGTCAAAATACAGTCCCATCGTTCGAGTGAAGTCTCGAGAGCAGTGAACCAGCACTTCGTACAGGTTGTGCTAAAGTATACATAAGATTTGTACTTTTCAAAAATTTATGCGGGCAGGAAATTTAGACAAAAAAGTAGTTGCTAATTTAGATTATAAGTAACTATGCAAACTGGGCTTTAAAATGGTACTATGACGAAAATTTTGCCTTTCGTTTTTTCATAGATTAATAGTGTATGTAAAAATCTCTTCCGGCAAAATTTTAGCGCAGTGTATTTCATGCTGCTCGAGTTACGTAGCAATAAAACTTGAACTTTAAGAGCCGCCATTAAAATGCGCCATATTTGAATTTTCAAGAAGGAAGGTGCTTGTGACGTCATAGTCTTAACTCGCGGCTGTTTACAATATAACACTATATACGAATAGAGATTTAAAAGCTTGTATAACTCAATTTTTTTAACATGCCTTCAACACGCTGTGTCGTGCAAGATTGCAGTAATAAGTCTAATAGAAGTACAGGCATTTCATTACATAAAAGCCCGAACGACGAGTCTTTGAGAAGAATTTGGGTTAAATTTGTTCAGACGAAGCGCGCAAACTTTAATCCGAGTTCGCGCAAAATTCGATTTATGATTTGTTCGAATCACATCTCGGATGATTGCTTTGAGCGTTTATTCCATTTGGGTGGTATGACTAGACGGCTCAAACCTGGTGTCGTACCTACTATTTGGAAGAAATCAAACACCAACAACGTCAAGAGAGCGGCGTCAGGTTAGCACAAGTTGCAATTATTATATACTTACACATATTGCAGATGATAAATTTTCACAATTTGAGAGAACCAATAATACACCCAAGCAAACTTTTAATATATAATATACATTTATGCTAAGGTTTTAAAGGAAATACAAAATGAAGTGTCTGTATCATGCGATGACCTTTGGTCTTTAAGCCTGGGCCACACTATCGTCTATATTGACGAAAACGAAAACGAAACGAAAATTCGTGCACGAAAAGCATGCCAGACACGACGAAAAATTTCAAGCATGTTTGCAAAGCCAAAACATTATTGGCCAATAAGCAAGCGGCATTTTTGACGGATTAGAAACAATGGCGATCTCTAAAAGAAAAAGATTACTTCTTCTTAAGAAAAAGTTACTGCTAAAATGTTTAAAAAGTAATGGAAATGAATGATTTGATATAAAAAGTTTGTCGGCGGACTATCAATAATACTCACTATCCCACGCCAAGTCCGTAATTTTCTTAAATTTATCTAAAACATCTTGCTAGTGATTTCTTTTCTTGTTCCTCGAGTCCTTATAATCCGGGTGACTTTTATCATACAAAATTGGTTTTTCTCGCATCAGATTCATCAAAACCTCTTGCCACTCCGCCATGTTTGAGAACAAAGTCTGATATTATCAAGATATTTTTAGCCAATAGTATGCGTTTTCGTTGACGAAAAAGGTCAAAAGTTCAACTCTTCTAATGTGAACGAAAACGAAATTTTCGTCGAGTTTTCGTTCAAAATTTTCGTTGCGGAAGTTTTCGTTCTAATTTTCGTCGATATGGACGATAGTGTGGCCTAGGCTTAAAACCTGACGAAGCTGCTTGAAGAACAAATTCGTTCAGGCAAACTTCGTTAAAGCCGTGGTGATCCAAAATGCATTTCATTTCATCGATTTCGAACTGATACATTTTACCACGGCATTGCTCTATTTCCATGCAGCATCGGCACTCTTGAGGGTTGACAACAAGATCCAACGAACAATGGCCACAATCGCACCTTTAATATTGGCCAAATTGTATATTTCCATAAAGTTATAATAGCTAACGGCAGACGATTCAGATCAAAGTAACACACTAAGAATGACATCTTACCATGAAGTAACATCAACACGGGCATCAAAACGATCTTGCAGCATGTCTTCAACCCGCCGTTCTTCTGCGACTGTAGCTTCGTACTCAGCAATTTCATCGGGCGAAGCAAGCCGTTCAATATTATCGACAAATGGCAAATTTCCGAATTAGATTCGTTCAAATTTGCCTTCACAAATTCCGATGAAGAAATCGATGCGTTTGTCGCGATCGAAGACTCAGAGAGCAGGCTAGATCTCGATGAATTTGACATTTTTTTGCTCTATTTATGTATTACTTTGTATACTTTCCAATGTGCGCTTCTTGCCGTGTTAAAACTATGCCGTCACAAACTTTGCTGATTGCAAATACTCAAAATGGCCGATTTTAATGGCGGACATGAAAATTAGACATTTCAAATGTTCATAACTCCCTCGTTATATTATTATTTTTGCTTACATTTTACGAAAGCAATAATTGATATGTGTTTAAGCTATCGAATGCTAAAATCGATGATTTTTTAATGTTAAGTTTTCGTCATAGAACCACTTTAACGACAGTATTATAACACTAAACGCACAGAAAAAAACAAAAGATCAACAAATGTTTTAGTGACGACAACTCAAAAACTACGATTCAAGGTTGTAGAACTTACTGTAGAAATTAAACGACTGAAAGTTTCATAGATTCAGAAAATAAATCGACAAGTCAAGGCCAACTGAACAATTATATCGTTTCAATGATAAGTTTGATAAAAGGCTATATAGCTCAAACTAAGCAAAAACGCGGCGAAATTGATAAAACATGTTTTAATTGAAATACAAAGAAAAAGAGACCTTACTTTCTACTTTCGGTAACTCCTCCAAGATCTTGTTTCCAAATAATGGCAACAAAGATTCGACATGCTTTTATATAATAGATACACGAGTAATTAAAAAAGTCAATATTTACTTTATACTTGATACTTTCATTTGTGAGACGGGGAGTTGAAGTTTCAGACGTTTTCGTGACTTTTATAGAATATTTCTTCTTTAATAGCAATCAACGTCTTTCGCTTTGACAAAAAACATACAGGAGCTGTCAACAGCGTAAGATAAAACTTAGTAAAGATAAAACTTAATAATTATATCATTTTTTAAGTTGGCAAAAATAAGATCTATTTTCTGGTTTATCCTTACTTGCATGCACATCTAAGAATTAGTAAAGTATTTTTCATGATGAATTGCGTTATGTTTCAGCTTAGTCGAAAAAAAATTGGCAATACTTCTTCTTAGAAACGCCCCAGTTTCAAACATCTCAACTTTTTTTATCTTAAGTTGTGTATAGGCAAGAATAGTTTTGCTAAATATCAGTTAATTCGAATAGATTCCATCACAAAGAACTTGTAGAGCAATAGCGCCAAAAGGCACGATAAAACTTTGCTAATTAAGCTCAGATATGATATCTATAATGTGGGTGACTAGCGGGCATTAGGCGACCAGCCAAATTGTTATTTTACTTAAAATCAAAAGAATCATGATTTTTCGCGCACGTGAAATACTACAAAGAGTTAAATTTTCAACTTACACCACCCAAAATTTAAGATTTTAAAACTTTCCTAGTTTTTTCTAAAAATAATAGAAGTTCTTCATATTTTATAAGGAATTAACAGCTGGGAGGTGAAATTCGACATATTAGGCTATTATGAACATGACCTTGTAAAAGTTCATGTGGCGTTTATAGAATATTTTCTTTGTAGACACATTACAGTTATCGGATACGAAAATTGTTATTTGACTTTGACAAACAGCTAAATAATTACATATTTTTACTTTAATTGCGTTGATAAGATAGAACTAGGAATTAAGATTTAAGAATATCACCTGTCATGATAAAACAATGTAACACTTGAAAAGTTAAGGCGGTGTTGTGTTTCATTGTTCAATTCTGGGTATTTTGAAAATGGAGCATAATTGAGCAATCCGAAGAGGAAATTAGTTTGTTGGGAGGGGATCAAAGTTAAGTAAGATGCAAGTGACATTTTATAAACATATATTTCAATGTGTTTGGAAGTATTGCATGCAATTTTTACATAATAACGAGTCACAATGTTTCTTGCAACGTATTTTACGAACGTGAAATTTAATTTTGCTTGTATTTTTCTGGACTGTTGCAACCATTGATGGATTTAAATACTGAAAAGGTATTTTATTCGCGCATCCATTTGTATGTTTCAGTTAAATTTGGTGTCAGTTGTGCGCAATGTCTTAATCTATTAAACGGTTTAATGTTTGTCATTATTTAAAATTTTCTGATGAGGAACAGGGCTAATTTTGAAAATATATAAGCAAATAAAATAATGGTAAGCAAACAATATTTGCTTTTAATACATAGGTTAAAACGTTTTCAAAGGCAGTATTGAGAAATGTCTTCGACGAGGAACGGGGCATCTCATTACTAAGATATAATGTAATTTATATTTCCACTTTTTTATATACCATTCCCAAATTTTTTTTTTTTAAACGTTTGTTTGTTAAGAGATTTGATAGTAGACACCAATGTTCGATAGACTAGTGAAAAGCAGGCAATAGCGAGATGTTTTTGACATTATGCAGATACATAACATAGAAAATGTAAACAACAAAGTTGTAGTGGTTGTGTTGGCAAAACCTTGTTATGGTGTTGTGTTTTGATACCCAACATTTTGAGTTCCAACCCATTTTTGTCAGATTATATCAATCATACTGGTATTTTGTAATTGTCAATCATAAAAAAGCAAATCCTTACGTACTCATCGAGTGCCTATTTCTTACAAATTATCATTGTATAAAGAATGTTTCAATGATACATCCTGTATAATTATTAAAAGGAAAATTTAAAATGTTATAAGCACATTAAACAAACAATTGTCGAATGCGTCAGCAACCAAACTGGTGAAACGGTAAATGAATTGAAGAAATAAAATATTTTATTAACATGAAAGTTGTTTAAAAGTCACTATTTGTTATTCGGCTTATTTTGATATCTACGTTGCATGCTTCGTTGTTTGTCCCTCTATGCTTAATTAATCTTTTGCTTGCATTTATGTGTCTGTTGATATCGAAAATAATGAGTTACAATGAAACAATGTTAGTGATCCAAAAACAAAAGAATATTTTATGAATAATAGAAATGACATTGTTTAGTATATCTAAAGAAATTAAGTCAATTGAACAAAAAAATATTTCTTGTGATCATTTATGTACATTTATACCTGTATTAGATGGCAATCCTTGACAGAATAGCGAAACGGTGATCCATTACGATCCATTATAAATTACTGAAACTCCAAAACCCTTTAGATTTGTGCTATAAAAATATGAATGTTTAAATAACAAAGTTTAACATGGCCAAAAATCACTGAAATTATAAACAAACGATAACAACAGACAATGCAAACTTTGTATTGATTGATAGTATCTATATTATATATTTACGTAAAAAAATGTATTAATAAATAATAAAAACAAATACATAAATGAATATATAATATAGATACAATTAATCAATACAAAGTTTGCGGGGCACGGTCTGTTACAATGGAATGGGGCGAGTTATCGTTTCTTTATATGATTTAAGTGATTTTTTGGGCCGCCTTTGGTTTAACCTCACAAAGTTAAACCTCTAACAAATGTGCTTTGCCAAGAAAATGCTCTAGTGAAAGATGTGAAATCACTATTTCATCAAGATTTCAACGATGATAATATACCATCAACGTTTGATGGTTATATTCTTTACCTCTGACTGACCATAACTTTCTTCAATTGTTTATTGAAAGTCTCTTAATGTCATTCCATATTCCATATTTGTTTTTAACTTCTCTAGTTTAAACATGACAGGACAATCCAGTGATATACAGCTCAGTTGTTCATCTCTAGCTCCACAACACTGAAAACATATCTACAATATGAAAAAAAATTAAATGTCATGAAAAAGACAAACCATAATTATTAGGTTATTTATTATGCATACCTCTTTAAGATGACTGCATTTTCTTTCCCAGTTCCCACTCCACTTGCCAGAATAAAGACAGACTTTTGAGGGTTGCTACGACAACTTTGACACAAACCGTGCAGTGTTAATTGTTCACATACAGGACAGTGTAGAGTTGTAAAAAACCCGAGAAATCGAACAGAAAATTTGTTCAAATAAATTAATTTAGCTTTTGCATCAATTCATGAATGTACTTATGACAACTAACTTTTAGTTTCCTTAAATAACACGATGTCGAGGGATATAGCGGGTAGTTGTGTATACCATGAAAAAGCATCAACACAAATCAACGAAAAAACTCGATCCAATGGAGGAAGTATTTGTTCCTGAACATAGTAGATGGCATTGAGGCGTAGATTTTTCATTTAACACATTAATAGGACTGAAGAAAATTAAAACAAGAAGATTGTTTAATGAAGACATTCATATTTATACTAAAGTATTTATTAATAACATTCCAACAGCTTTTGTCATGATACATAACGTAAAATAATGAAAGACAGCAACATTTGAACTTACTCTTTAACCAATTGAATCAATGGTAGTCCAGGACTGCCGTTAACAATGACGTAAGGTACAAGTTCTTCTACGCCAGATTCCGCGCGACGATCACGTGACAAATAACGTCTATACAAAAATAGAAATAGTAAAACTGTAATCATGACAACAATTTAAAGAGGATTTTTCATTTCAACAATAAAATGAACCTTGCAATTTCCAAAGCTGGAACACATGCTTTTGGTTTATATCTTTTCATACCACGATATTCCTTAGCAAAGATGAAATCCTGAATCGATACTCTATCTTTCATCATTTTAACGAACTGCCGCTGGACAAACTTCTTCACAAGATTCACGTCTCTTTCTTCAAATAAAATCCTTAAAGACTTTCAAACTTTAGTTTCACAGGTTTAGGATTCTCTGCAGTAACAGCATCAACAATTTCTTTTCCAAACTTAAACGCTTCCTCTTTACTGGCACCTTTTACTAATACGAAAAGACTATCGGTGTCCCCATATACCACACGAGCACCCCACACATCATTGTGTTCAGGAGATTGAAAGCTCGTTCCAGGCTCTCGCGTGCTTTACGAACAATGGCGTCAGCAATCTGATGAAAAACAGAAAAAAATATTGAGATGGTTTTAAGAGTAAAAAAAAACCCAGTATGACAATAAGCACTTGATAGATTTTTAATTTGAGCATGTGACTAAGTCCAGGCTCACGATAATCATAATAATCAACATGTATCTACATTATATATATTATATATTTATCAATTATCTGTAGTAAATATATTATATATTTAATGTATCTAAAAATATATGTGTATTGGTAAATATATAATATATATAATATCGATACAATCAATTAATACAAACTTTACGGCGCACGGTATGTTTAGATGGAATGGGGAGAGTTATCGTTTGTTTAAATTTCTATCATGAATACAAAGTTTACGGCACACGGTCTGTTTAGATGGAATGGGGAGAGTTATCGTTTGTTTAAATTTCTATCATGAATACAAAGTTTACGGAACACGGTCTGTTTAGATGGAATGGGAGAGCTATCGTTTGTTTAAATTTCTATCATGAATACAAAGTTTACGGCGCACGGTCTGTTTAGATGGAATGGGGAGAGTTATCGTTTGTTTAAATTTCTATCATGAATACAAAGTTTACGGCACAAGGTCTGTTTAGATGGAATGGGGAGAGCTATCGTTTGTTTAAATTTCTATCATGAATACAAAGTTTACAGCACAAGGTCTGTTTAGATGGAATGGGGAGAGTTATCGTTTGTTTAAATTTCTATCATGAATACAAAGTTTACGGAGCAAGGTCTGTTTAGATGGAATGGGAGAGCTATCGTTTGTTTAAATTTCTATCATGAATACAAAGTTTACGGCGCAAAGTCTGTTTAGATGGAATGGGGAGAACTATCGTTTGTTTAAATTTCTATCATTAATACAAACTTTACGGCGCACGGTCTGTTTAGATGGAATGGGAGAGCTATCGTTTGTTTAAAGTTCTATCATGAATACAAAGTTTACGGCACACGGTCTGTTTAGATGGAATGGGAGAGTTATCGTTTGTTTAAATTTCTATCATGAATACAAAGTTTACGGCGCAAGGTCTGTTTAGATGGAATGGGGAGAGTTATCGTTTGTTTAAATTTCTATCATGAATACAAAGTTTACGGCACACGGTCTGTTTAGATGGAATGGGGAGAGTTATCGTTTGTTTAAATTTCTATCATGAATACAAAGTTTACGGCGCACGGTCTGTTTAGATGGAATGGGAGAGCTATCGTTTGTTTAAATTTCTATCATGAATACAAAGTTTACGGCACACGGTCTGTTTAGATGGAATGGGGAGAGTTATCGTTTGTTTAAATTTCTATCATGAATACAAAGTTTACGGCGCAAGGTCTTTTAGATGGAATGGGGAGAGTTATCGTTTGTTTAAATTTCTATCATGAATACAAAGTTTACGGCACACGGTCTGTTTAGATGGAATGGGGAGAGTTATCGTTTGTTTAAATTTCTATCATTAATACAAAGTTTACGGCACAAGGTCTGTTTAGATGGAATGGGGAGAGTTATCATTTGTTTAAATTTTTATCATAAATACAAAGTTTACGGCGCAAGGTCTGTTTAGATGGAATGGGGAGAGTTATCGTTTGTTTAAATTTCTATCATAAATACAAAGTTTACGGCACGGTCTGTTTAGATGGAATGGGGAGAGTTATCGTTTGTTTAAATTTCTATCATGAATACAAAGTTTACGGCACACGGTCTGTTTAGATGGAATGGGGAGAGCTATCGTTTGTTTAAATTTCTATCATGAATACAAAGTTTACGGCACAAGGTCTGTTTAGATGGAATGGGGAGAGTTATCGTTTGTTTAAATTTCTATCATGAATACAAAGTTTACGGCACAAGGTCTGTTTAGATGGAATGGGGAGAGTTATCGTTTGTTTAAATTTCTATCATGAATACAAAGTTTACGGCGCACGGTCTGTTTAGATGGAATGGGGAGAGTTATCGTTTGTTTAAATTTCTATCATGAATACAAAGTTTAAGGCGCAAGGTCTGTTTAGATGGAATGGGGAGAACTATCGTTTGTTAAAATTTCTATCATAAATACAAAGTTTACGGCGCACGGTCTGTTTAGATGGAATGGAGAGAGTTATCGTTTGTTTAAATTTCTATCATGAATACAAAGTTTACGGCGCAAGGTCTGTTTAGATGGAATGGGGAGAGTTATCGTTTGTTTAAATTTCTATCATGAATACAAAGTTTAAGGCGCAAGGTCTGTTTAGATGGAATGGGGAGAGTTATCGTTTGTTTAAATTTCTATCATGAATACAAAGTTTACGGCACAAGGTCTGTTTAGATGGAATGGGGAGAGTTATCGTTTGTTTAAATTTCTATCATGAATACAAAGTTTACGGCACAAGGTCTGTTTAGATGGAATGGGGAGAGTTATCGTTTGTTTAAATTTCTATCATGAATACAAAGTTTACGGCGCACGGTCTGTTTAGATGGAATGGGGAGAGTTATCGTTTGTTTAAATTTCTATCATGAATACAAAGTTTACGGCGCAAGGTCTGTTTAGATGGAATGGGGAGAGCTATCGTTTGTTTAAATTTCTATCATGAATACAAAGTTTACGGCGCACGGTCTGTTTAGATGGAATGGAGAGAGTTATCGTTTGTTTAAATTTCTATCATGAATACAAAGTTTACGGCGCAAGGTCTGTTTAGATGGAATGGGGAGAGCTATCGTTTGTTTAAATTTCTATCATGAATACAAAGTTTACGGCAAGGTCTGTTTAGATGGAATGGGGAGAGTTATCGTTTGTTTAAATTTCTATCATGAATACAAAGTTTACGGCGCAAGGTCTGTTTAGATGGAATGGGGAGAGTTATCGTTTGTTTAAATTTCTATCATGAATACAAAGTTTAGGGCACAAGGTCTGTTTAGATGGAATGGGGAGAGCTATCGTTTGTTTAAATTTCTATCATGACAAGATCAAAGTTACCTCAACACACGGCATTCGTCCTGAGAAGTTTGCTGAGGTGTAACCATAAGTGACATTTGCAATCAACTTTAAAGCAAGTTGTCGAGCATCAAGAAGTTGAAGAAGAGTCTAAAATGTAAATTACTTATGATATTGAATGATTAAAGAAAACAAACGAAGAGTGGAAAGGCATCTTTTTTGAACATGATGAAAACTACATGACGTTTTAGCTACTGGATCTTATAAAAACATCAAAGATCGCTTCAATAACAAAGGTTTAATAAAACCAACTTACTTTATCATCTTTACAATCTTTCATAGCTTTCTTTACCATAATACGTGTGTCTAATATCTCCTCCAACATTCTAAAATAAATCAAACTTATTGAACATATAATAGCCAAAGATATCATGACCCATTTAGGACAGTAAAGACTTAAGAAGGAACGCAATGTACATTGCAAAATATACTACAAAATGCAAATGTTATTTTTTCAACAATCTTTTGAATCAATAAAAACGTGACCTGTAACCAAATGAATGTGAAATATCCCACATTACCTGGGTAAAATTCCTCGTCTTATGTTAGATTTTACAAAAACAGAGCCAATGGCGCTTACATGAATATCATCTTGCAGTTTCTGAAAGGAAATGTATTGTTTCAAATGTATTGCTTGTCGTGATGGTAATTTATTAAAAATTCTCACCTCCAGTAATGTTGGAGGAACATTCAACGATGTACAACCAAACTCAAAATGAACAACGACATGTAAGACAGAGAAAATGACTTTTTACCTTAATTTTACAATCCATGCTACACGACAGAAGAAGATGAGCGGATTTAGGAAAGAATCTTATTGCAGAAACACCTTTAGTGTGACCAGACCTAAGAGAAACATAAAATAATACAATAATACATAAGTAAGAATATCTCCATTGCTTTCTTTTATCACGACGGTAGAAGGATGAACTACAAGAAAAGAAACACTTAAATGTTATTAAAAAGTGCTGTATAAAGTGAATATTTGCATCAGGAAGTATCGTTACGTTTTTGTCGAGGTTAGTAGAGTCCTGTGAAGGACTGTTGGTGTTGATGTTGACTGACGTTTCGACAACCTTAGCAGTAGTCATCTTCAGAGTCAAATGATAAGTAAATGTCAAGTTAGCCGTGTTTCTTAAAACAAGTGCTAAGGAAGTCCAATACAATATCTACAAACATACGTACGTAGTACTAGAACAAATCATTACTTTATAATAAATAATACACTGATAAATATGATTTTATAAACATATCAAATGATCACCTAAACGTCTTGACTCAAAGAGAAGCATCGTAGTAAAAAAACGCTCATATTTTAAGTTTATATTTGGATGAGACGCTTTCTCTAATGAATACTGTAATGTATAATTGAACTTCCTCAATACCATCAAGAATTATATCATAAACTGTCTTTAAACTTAATTCAATTATTGTGTGTTTTCCTTAAAATCTAAAAAATTTAAAGCATATTGATGACTCTAAGTCAGACGTTCTATGGCGTTTTCAATAACATTTTAGTAAGTAAACTTTCATGTATTTCTTCCGTTTTTGTTTTACAGTAAAGTAACAGAAAACAAACAAATACAAGAACAACTAAAATTCAATAGCGCGTTTAACGTCATTTCTGGTATTTTAACTTCCATTTTTTGATTTTCAATAAATGAACTAAATGGAGAATTGTTTACATACCACGTATGAATACGTTGCTTTGGTAGAAAGTTCTGGAGGAGTATCTGACTTGAGATTAATGCCAAGATCTTGTGGAATGTGAAGATATGATCTTCCTTGATAGTCATATGCATCTTTAACTGAAAAATAATTACATTTGGTAAAGTTTAGGAAACTACAAGAAAGTATGAAAATTTTAACTTACTGTGTAATGTGGATTTCTCTTCTGAAGGTTTCATATCATCTTTCTTTGATTTGTATTTCTTTGATAATTCATACTCCTCAAGGATTGTTGACTCTTCCTGTATTTACCAAGGTAAAACGCCAGAAAAATAATTGTTTCATTTGAAAAATATGTTTATAAAACTCTTTATTTGGGTAATTGAAATACTTCAGATGGTTTAGCAATAGTTTCTTCATCAACAAACTTGCTCCATGGTGCAATAGGATACCAGAGAATAAGAGATAGTAGGACAACCTTTCAAAAGTTATAATTATTGTAGTAATCGTACCCTTGTATCCATCAATCACACCAGGATCTGCCCTATCCTCTCTTTTCCTCTTATCTCCCACCCGCTGTTTTGTAGCTTCAAACACAGTCAATCCCTTGCTATCCTTTGCTTTCTCAACATCCCCAACAAATCTTAATGGATAACAATTGATATGAACATAAAACATTAGCAAGCCTATTTACTAATAATTAAGAGCCATGTACTACATTATGTTTTTAAGGTAATTTCATGACAAAGCACATTCATCATATTCCACTCAAATAAACATTTATCAGCTTGAATCATTTCAAAGTAATTGAGTGATATAATACTTCAGCATTATTCTATTTCAGACTTGATGCATTCACAGAGGAACATGTTTGATGTAGGAGTGTTTGATACCCTCTACATATTGTGAATTATGTATAAAAAGTTATTCCGGAAACTAATAAAGGATGAAAAAGTTGGTTTGTATTGGGTTTTAGTATCAATCTACACTACAATAAATCCTCCCCACAATGTAAAACACATAAAATTTTGGAGAGAAGTGCGTTCCTGCACAAACATGACTATCGTTGAAGATGTATGCTATATCATAGTTATGCTATAAGCACATTGTAACAACATTATATACATATATTGTAACTAACTTCTCTTCAATGTGAGCTGTGTCATCACTTGGATCTAATGCATAACCTGTGATTTATTAAAACAAAAGATCACACATAACTCATTAACAAATACATTTTTCTCAAACTATGCTTGCTTTTCCTCTAACCGTAACTTGAAAATGTTTTTGTTGATTATCAAATTGAAATTTACTGATATGAGCTGGCTTAACATAGCCAGACAACATATTTTTATGTGCTCTTTGCTGCTTCGTTTTAAATGGATTTTGAGGTCCAATGTAAAATAGTAGACTTCTTCAAAATCATGATTTTGTCCATGTGCATGTAAATGGTGCCAATGATTAAATTATTAACGTACCGAAGCAGAAAAGAGTTCGTCATACTTTGCATTAAATGTAACTTCTTTCATTGAAGGATCGATGTGTCTTCTCCAATCAATTCCTCCCTTTAAAGCATAGCAAATTGTACCATAGATTTAGCCTTGGTGTTGGTAGTTGCCTATTTAGGACTTTGGGAATAAAAACTATTACACTTTACCTTAGCATCAACAATTGGCGCGCTGTTTAAAAGAAACTTAGATTTTAGAGCATCCATATTGACAGTGCTCTCGATTGACTTTTCACCTTCTTTAGATTTATCATTATTACTTCTCTCTTCATCAGAAGAATCACTTTGATAAGACACCAACGATTTTGGACTTGCAGCTAAATCGAGAGATCGTAGCACAGAAGCCATGTTGAAATTTGTCACGTGAAACGTGAACTGAAAGATAAATATTAAATGTCACCATGGTTACGCGCGCGAATTGTTTTATCGTCTTGCCGCGAAATACGATTTTACCCACTTTAACTTTTTTGTAAAAAAAAACATCATCGTATGCGCATTGTCAACTTTCTTGTTCTCCTTCCATTGTATTGCTCTATAATAAAGCTAAATATCTTAACGTTTTAAGTTCTTTATTATTCGTGAAAAGCGGTATGTGGAATAACAATACGAAGGTATTGCAAGTTTAATTGCTTCATCACACTAAGCATATGCACATACATTAACTGAATTGCAAAACACTTTCGCTGCAGAGTAAGTCAGAATACATGAAACTACTTGACAACTGCCGTATTGGCAATATTTTGGAAATAATTGGTAATAATTATAACAATATCAGCAGTGTTGTTATTATAGTATTTTAAATTTATAATAAGCTACTAAACATAAACATATTCTGACTTACCCTGAACTTCCACTGCATTGCACTACTTGCAAATTTTATGCAGTTATTTAGGTTATTTAGTTCAGACCTTTGCAGTGCAATGGGGATGAGGGTGCAAGGCAACATGAATATAGGCCCTGACATGACATAGGATTAAAGTCTTGCATTAAAAATTCATAATATAGAAATGGAAATTAGTTTTGTTAATTATATGTACATAATTTATTTGGAGGTTTTGTCTCTCAAAAAAGCTTCAAAAAAGATAGAGCCCGTACTGAGCAAGCTAACTAGAGGTCAGGCTTTTGAGTCTTTGTTGCCAAAGATTGAGAAATGGTTTACCAAAGGTGTAAATTGCAGTACAGATGATGATTCAGTTGTTGATCCTTGCCATGTAACATCTATGCCAAGTATGGACCAGTTGCAACAATGGAGAAAAATAGTTGAGGCATCAAGTACAAGCAAAGGAGCATGTATCAACACATCACAAGGAAGGTTAGATATCAATTGCATCACCAATCTGCAGAAATTTCACACCTTAAAAAGCATACAAGTAGAAGTCGAAGAGGAAATTGCCTGGTTTTCACGACCATTGAACAAACCAGACACGGTGGTGGAACATCCATCAGCTGCTTCAATTACAGCCTTTCAGAAGCTTTTGTACAGAACCCCATACAGTGAGATTATGAAAGAACGAGAATTGTCATCCAATGAGATGTCCAGGTTATGTGTTGACAGATGGGTGTCAAGTGACCACATATGCTGGTTGACAAAAAACCTAAACCAAAAGAAAACAGATACATATTATGTGTACCTCAATGGAACAAAGCCACCCACAACAGCCCAACACCATGCTAAATATGAATTCATTTCAAAGTTCTGTTTTGCCATAAATGTTGGTAAAAAAGCAATGGCAACACTTTCCTTGGAGATGATTTGCACCCCGGAAACCATTAGGTACTTTGCTATGTAGACACTAATGACAAAAACATTACATATGGGGATTCATTAGACTGGCAATTTCCTAACACTCTTCTACACATTTTAGATAAATTCATCAAGGCACATAATATTTGCGACAGCATAGCCAACTACTCAGTAACAATGACTTATGATCCTGATAGCAGATGCCGGGTTAGAGGAGGACACAAGTGCACAGACAATTGTTCCAAAGCGTATCCATTCCAAACATGTAGCAATGTTTGTGGCGTGGTTGTAATGATTATGATGGCTATATCAAGCTATAACTATGCCTTTTTCAAGAGCATGCTATCATTTTCTAAGCCAACCACAAAGAATATTTCATCAATATACCTAAGCAATCCCACACATTACAGCGCATACTCACGGATTGTACTTGGATGTTGGATCTCAGATAATGTTGTTAACCTGGCATATGTATTACCACAGTTTTGGAATACATTACAAAAAGGGATTTTACCAGAAAATGAAAACACAGCAACAACTTGTAAAATTTCCAATAAATAGAGCATCAAGAGACTCAAAGATCACACCATCAGTCTTCAATAAAATGGTGAAGGATAAAATCATGCAATGTATTTGAGTTCAATGATGCAAATGATGCAGTCAAAAAGCTGTTTGAGATAGCATTGCTAATGTTCTTTTTACTAAATTGTCATTGTTAAACAAGTAATACGAATAAACTCACTTTGGGACAAGTAGGGCAGATATTTCCTTCATCAAGCTCAGGAATAACACAGCTCAACATGTTTACTTTATGTCTGTAAATTCTGAAAAAAACAATGACACAAAGTAAGCAATTATGCACTCTTAAACAAATGACATAAACAAAATACAGTGCAAGACAGTAATACTTGAGGAAAAATTCTTTCCCATTATAAACTTTAGCATTTTGATTTCCTCCAATTAAATACATCTCTTAAGATGAGATTCTTAGGCTATAAAATTGACTGCAACTTTCCCAGCAATTCATACGTAGTACAGCAGTGCAATAAATCAGTGACCTACATGCAGTTACCTATATTCTTCAAAAGCATCTATAATGACAGGATACATTTTGGTGTTGCATAAGAAGAGAATATGTGGTTATGATTAAACTCTTCAAATGACTGACAAATGCTTTTATTGATGCCTGGCATTCCATCTGCACAGAATGAATCAATTCAAAAACTCAATTGCAAATGCAATTCTTGGTTTTGTAGGTGTTCCACCCCAAAGGCCAAATTGCAGAAGTTGAACAAACTCTGAGAGCATGAGCAAAAGTGTACCTCAACAGTACAAAAGGTGCCTAAAATTGAAAAAGATCCAAAATTATAATTGTGTTGAACCATCCCAGCTAAAATGAAAAACTTTTGCAGCACATTTTACATATAACATACCTTTAACATCAACAACAGAAACACTTCTTTTGTGACGAGCTGTTTGGCATGAACAATCATACACCAGCATGTTCATGAGTTTATATGGCCAAAACATGCCATCCTACAAAGCAATGAATAACCTCGTAGAAATTAGTTGTAAACAATCCCCTTTCTTGCATTCGTACAAAATATTAGATTAGTGCTTCGTAGCATGTTTCACAATGTAAACTCTCATTTGATTTTTTTGTTGCAAGTGTTGAGAGAGTTAACTGTAAACACTTTTATAATATCTAGCTCATAAAGGTTACCTTATATATTTCAACATGATGACAAATATTTACGGTTGTGTGCATCTTTAACATACAGTTCTCACAATACTTTGCCATTGGACCACAATCGCTGCACCTAAACTTTGCTTCATTATCGCACTGAATACACTTCAGATTGCTCCAAGTTTTGCCAGCAAACTGAAATGTAGTTTTTATAATTGAATGTCGCAAAATTTGCCATGCTTTTTGTTTTCTTTCAACTTTCTGGTAATAAGAAGATGATTCTTCACAATCATGGTGAACATCACTTTCAAGATCACTGTTATCTTGTTCCATTCCCAGTTCATGGCCTTCCAATGCACCACAATTATCAGGACTGTTAATAGAACAGCTTCCTCTATGATCCTCAGGAACCAATTCTGACAAATCCACCTCCTCTCTCTCAACATGGCCATCCTCCTCATGATATAAAATTATCATAAAAATCTATAAAATGATAATAAATGTTGAAAAGTCTAACAGCTATAAGGCCGTTATTTGGTGTACCTTGCCATCTTTTAAAATTACCAGCAAGAAAATCACAAATCAGAAAATATTATCGATATTACCAATGACACAATAACATAAGTTAAACGACCAAAGTACAACGTATGTATCTTCCACGACTACCTGCCGACGTTTTGTACCCGTACTTTACCGGCTTTTAGCCACGTCTCATAAGACGAATGGGTGATTTGTTTGATGTTTGTAACATGTTTGTAAATGTAGATCGTCCAGGTTGGTATAGTCCTGAGAAGGACTGTTTTTGTTGTTGTTGACTGGCGTTTCGACAACCTTAGCGGTAGTCATCTTCAGAGTGATTTGCTTGTTGGTAAAACGAAAGGGTTTTTGTTCCGGTATATTGTAGGAGCCTTTTTCCTAGGGTAGGGGTAGCATATCTCACGTGACCGGAAACGTCAATCATTTAAATTATTCCACAAACTCGACTAGAACGCCGCGCAGATATCATGTAGTTCGTTGTGTCTTGAAATCTTTCTGAGGTATGTTGATTTTAAACTTTACCCTTCGTTGTTATATTGTATTTTGATTTTGTGATTTAATGTTTCATGTCCATTTATCGATTATTTTGTTTTTCTGTAAAATATTCTACTTCCGCGTTATGTACGTATGTAAATGTTTTATAAAGATAAATTTGTTGATTTTGGTGAGATTTGGAACTAGCTCAAATCAAAATATATCTTATAAAACATATAAGATATATTATATCTTTATATAATAATAAAAGAAATAAATTTCTACTATATAATAGTAATGTTCTACATCGATACACATCAAGTGCATGGTCACGAGGTAGTAGAGGAAATAAGATATTCATGGATAATTACGTAAAAGCACTATTGCTAATGCGCATTTAATATACACGACAAGTTTTTTTAAAATAGATATGTTTCGACGTCTCATTATGCCATCTTCAGTATGAGTGAAATAATAAGATTGTAAATGATGATCGTCCAGGTTAATAAAGTCCTGAGAAGGACTGTTTTTGTTGTTGTTGACTGACGTTTCGACAACCTTAGCGGTAGTCATCTTCAGAGTCAAAACATTTAACGATACTCCCGGGTTCAAACCATTTACTTTAGTGAAATAATAAGTGATACAATAAAAGGAAATAAAATAAATTAATGGGGAGCGTCCGAGCGTATTATAAAATAAATATTGTATTGAATTTAAAAACTTGAACATTGAGGTCAGGGTTAGTTTTTTTATGTGGAGTGCTTCTTTGATTTTAAGGGTGAATGAGGTGTCGGCAGTGTCGATGATTTTGAAGCAAGAGGGTGAATAGTTGGTTTTGCATGAGTGAGATTTAAGAAGGTGCCGGTAGATATGAGAGTTTTTGTCTGTTGTTGTGGTATGTTCCCTGATTCTGGTTGATAAATGGCGTGAAGTTTCGCCAATGTATCGGGAATTAGCTACATCCCGCGCATTTAAATTCATATACCACCATAGATTTAATTGAATCAGGGATTGGGTCTTTGAATGAGAAAAGCTTTTTGATTTTGAATGATGTAAAAATTAGTCGAATGTCAATATCTGTACAGAAGCGTTTCATAATGTTTAAAGTCTGCGTTGTGTGTGTCGTGAGTAATGTCCGATGTATGGTAGTTTGAAGTATAGAGTTTTATTTTGAATTTTCATTTGTGTTGGTCGTGATCGTCGTGTCAGGAGTTTCGGTGTCTAGTTTGAGGTTGTTGCTTGTTTGTTGTCGAGATCGTTTTACGGTTCTGTTAATAAAGAAGTGAAAGAGTTTCGTAAAAAGAGTATGATTTTATGTCTCGTTGAAAGCCATTGCTCGTATTGTTAAGTTTGTATGTCGATTATGTATAAGTCCGGTTTTGTATGAAAGTGGTGTGAAACTAAATAGTTCGTCAGACGTCCTGTGTATGTTGGTTTGTGATATGTAGATGTTGTACAGCTGTCATGGGATTTTGTAAAATGTCGAGAAATGGCAGTTGATCTTGTTGTTCAGTTTCAAGTGAAAATCTAATGTTTGTGCTGTGAAAGATGAGAAGTCGTCGAGGAAGTGAAAGAATTTAGTGGAGTGGTCATATGGTATTAGTGGTGTTAGTAGAGAACTAAGATACTTAGCAAATTATAATTGTATGTTGATTGATGAAACTATCGGTCGTAGGAGGCGATCTGTTTTCAGAGTTCGGACACAGAAGCGTGAGGGTTGGGAAGAATATCATCTTTGTTATCATCGAGTCTTTCTTTAGAAGCTTTCAACAGTTTATTTGGTCGTGATATGTCTTGAGGGTAACTTTGCTGTATTGTTAATGATTTTAAGGCAGGAGTTACGATACATTTTGATGATCCACGATGCCGTTGCGGTTTGAGAATGATAATGTTTGGATTGTTGCGAATGTTTTTAAGGATGTGGTGTTTTTTGAAGTCAGCTGGTTTCCACCAAACTATAAAACACAGCATTCTCGCTCATCTCAAAACAGAGCTGGCACACATCGCTCACTGGTTTATCTCATCTTATCACCCGACACCAGCTGACTTCAAAAAACACCACATCCTTAAAAACATTCGCAACAATCCAAACATTATCATTCTCAAACCGGACAAAGGCAACGGCGTCGTAATTATGGATCGTCAAATGTATCGTAACTCCAGCCTTAAAATCATTAACAATACAGCAAAGTTTACCCCACTCAAAGAAGACGTCACACTATCACGTGAAGCCAAACTACAACGACTGTTAGGGAAGCTTCTAAAGAAAGACTCGATTAACAACAAAGTTTATAATGATATCTTTCCCAGAGGCTCTCAACCCTCACGCTTCTATGGCTTACCGAAACTTCACAAGAAACGAGAACCAGAACAATCGCCTCCACTACGACCGATAGTTTCATCAATTAACTCGTTCAACTACAATTTAGCTAAGTATCTTAGTTCTCTACCAACACCATTCATACCAGATGACCACTCTAAAGATTCTTTCACTTTCCTCGACGACTTTTCATCATTCACAGCACCCAAAATTAGATTTTCATTTGAAACTGAACAACAAGATCAACTGCCATTTCTCGACATTTTACTAACAAAATCCCATGACAGCTGTACAACATCTACATATCACAAACCAACATACAAAGGACTTCTGACGCACTATTTTAGTTTTACACCGCTTTCATACAAAACCGCACTTATACGCACACTAATCGACAGAGCATACAAACTTAACAATACGAACATTGGCTATCAACGAGACATAAAAAACATCACATCCACTCTTTTACGAAACTCTTAGCCACTACACTTTATTAACAGAACCGAAAACGATATCTCAACAACAAACAAAGCAACAACCTTAAACTAGACACCGAAACTCCTGACACGACGATTACAACCAACACAAATGAAAATTCCAAAATAACAACTCTATACCTCAAACTACCATACATCGGACATTACTCACGACACACACAACGCAGACTTACAAACATTATGAAACGCTTCTGTACACATATTGACATTCGACTAATTTTCACATCGTTCAAAATCAAAAACTTTTTCTCATTCAAAGACCCAATCCTTGATTCAATTAAATCTTTGGTGGTATATGAATTTAATTGCGCGGGATGTAATTCCCGATACATTGGCGAAACTTCACGCCATTTATCCACCAGAATCAGGGAACATACCACAACGGACAAAAACTCTCATGTCTAACGACACCTTCTTAAATCTCACTCATGTAAAACCAACTATTCACCATCTTGCTTCAAAATCATCGACACTGCCGACGCCTTATTCACCCTTAAAGTGTTACTATGACGAAAATTTTGCCTCTCGTTTTTTTTCATAGATTAATAGTGTATGTAAAAAAATGTCTTCTGGCGAAATTTTATCGCAATATATTTA